ATGTCAGAGCGCTGTCCACAGATATGTTTGGTGTTTTGAGTGGAGTACTCTTGCCAGCAAGTAAACCAAACACATCCTCGAGCGCTGCCGCTGATCGTCCGCGACCGCTTATTCAGAGGGCCGAAGCTCTCCTTATTCACGGTTAACCGTGAGTTGACGACCGCTCCCCTATCCGCGACCTGGAGACGCGCTCGGTAGAGTAAAGCTCTGCTCCATCGAGAAAGCTTTCATCTGGGACAGGCCAATCATAGTTTCGAGTAGCATGCATGACAACTGATGGAACAGTTCGACGGTAGATGTAACTTTTTGCATTCAAAATTTTGAATGCGGTTATTCTCTCCAGGAGGCCTTGTTCATTTTGACCCTCGTGAGAAACAGCCAATCGCATCCTTCTGCACACACCAACCATGATACTCACAGTTGTGAGTAGTACACCACAACACTGTAACCTCAATTCGGCACAAACACCGGAAAGCGTCATGGTCTTTCGTATGTGGCAGACCGGGAACGCAACAACTTATTCAATCGCGAACCTGAGTCACACAAACATAATATATTTTCCAATGCAAACGATGTATACTTACTGTTTCAGAATATATGCCGTATTTAAGCTTGGGAAAATGTAAACAGACCCGGTTGCTACTGTTTTCTCACTGTCCTAGTGAGAATATTTTCGGAATTACATTCTTAATGTTTTCAAAATTTTCAGCAAAAAACATCAACCTAGATCCCCAGAAGTAACAGATCTACGCACGAGTCACATGATTCGCCGATTTGCAGTTCAGAATCTTTGCCTACTGTTAATGGCAAACCGTGAGAGATTTATTGATTCAGTTCAGAGATTTGATAGACCTTTGTTAAACGTACCTCTAGGATTAATGCTTCCGAATATGAGATCCAGTGGGTCAACCTAAAGGCATATTGTTTGCGATCAGTCTTGTGATTGATCAGGATGTGTTTTTACTAGCAGTCATTCTGCTCTTCCTCTCCCTCGTTCATGCTGTTATTTTCAGTCGGCAAATCGCAAATTAGGGACTATTTGTGCCAATTGTCGAACATCTCACACCACCCTGTGGCGACGAAATCAACATGGTGACTCAGTTTGCAACGCCTGTGGACTGTATTACAAACTGCATCACGTGAGTTCACTCTCACCCAGTGAGGAGATTTTAAAAAAATCAATTATTCACGCTCAACTTTGAATGCCTATTCCGAGTATTGAGTATTTTTACAACGACACGTGAAAGACAAGATTGTGCACCACAGCTAAGAATAACGTCAGCTATCTTGCTTGGAGTGCGAGCATAAAGGACGAGCTCGATTGATGGATGCTTTTTGTAGTGTATCGTGGAGAAGGAGGTGGCCCGTATTAAGAAAGCAACAAGTTTTTATCTTTATCGAGTTTATTCAAATTTTTATGACTTCTTCTGACTAAGCTAGTCACGTTACGATTGAATTTAGCTTAACTCTAGGAATGCCAAAATGGCACACAACCTATTTATTAATGAAGTGCCGCCCTTTGATTTTTCTCTAGTTTAGGAGTTTCTGTTCATTTTTTGCAATTATTGTTACTAGGATAAGATGTGATACGAAACGTTTGGAAAGTAGACTGAACACAGCGTTCTTCTAGGATTTTGTAGATGAAATGAGGAGGAGGTGATCGATCTTGGTGAAAAGCATCTTCGCTGGTGAACTCGCGTAAGACACTATTATAAATGCGATTTAAGTTTTGGACGATTAATGCTTAGCAAGTTTACGATAGAGACCATACCTATATAGCAATAAATAATCAATTTAGAGCTAATACCACTTTGGTTAATTGCGTTCGTGGAAAAACTGAGAACTGAAGCGTGTGTTTCGTATAACCTTCAATAGGAATACTAGATAAACATGCTGCAAGAAGGTCAAGGGCGGGAGCGAAGAGGTATGAATACTTGATCAGTAACGGTTGGACGTCTTTGTTGTGACAGGCTTGCCGGTCGAGATCCTCGGGATCAGCCTAGTTGATGACTAGAAATACTGAAAGATTCAGGTAAATGTAGTAGTAAATTTGGAGTAATCCATTCCATTGTTCACAGGCACTGTTTATGGCCTTGGTTGTGGGTGTCACTCCTTGGGGATCATTAATTCCTCGTGAATTAAATACCTTTTATAGCGATGGAAAGCTCACGATCAGCGCCTGGTGCCTATGCACAATCGAACGTATTATCCCAAATTTACTGCTCTCAAATACTTAAACCATTCGTCCAACACAACGACCTTCGATCGTGTAATTCAGCGGTAAGGGTTTCGAATTCCCTACCCGAATGTTCACGGTTCGATTCCTGACAAGGACGTAGGAAGTATGCACTGCTGATGAGACCCAAAACGGAACGAAACAGCTGTCCAGTTGGTCAGCGAAAATTTTTTCATCGCTGATAAGATTCAGGTCTGGTGCATCTGGTCTTAAAAATCTAATTGTCCTCATATCCCTTATTTGTATTTGTATTCTTAACTTTCAGCCCATTGTTTAGTCTTGTTCACTACTGTGGTAACGGAAATAGTGAACAGCTGTCTACTTGTGAATGAGCAGAGTTAACTTTAGTACACAGTCCTCATAGGTAGTGCGATATACCGGTCCGGATATTGTATGGATCTATTTTCTGGATCAGTTCATGCGTGCTTGTAATAAGATGATCCGTTCGCACACAGTTCTCTCACGTTTTCTGAATCTACTGGCATGGGATTCCGTTAAGAAACCTATGATGTTGAATATATCGAATAGATGGTCAGTAAAAGCATGAGAATACCTGAAAATTGCTCGATTTATTGAGTTGCAGAACTAATATTGTTTTGCTTTTGCCAACTGGGTCAAGTTTACTGCTCGCACATTGTGCCAGGCGTATGTAGACACTCGATGAACACCAAAAGGTTCTCACGCCAAAAATAACTCTAAACTTCATTCGCGATAGAATTAGGCCGGTGGTCTTTGGTAAGCGGCTGTCGGAATCCAAAATAGGCGCACACATGCTATGCTGTTGTCTAACAACCCAGTATATGAATCGAAATGCCAGGACTACAATTACCGATCATCTTCATTTGATCAGAATAACTATGGGGAGGATTAATTAGTTTTGCGTATAGTCGAAGCAATAACATATTTGCTATTAAAAGCAAGTTCCTGACATATTCCGGCCTCACTGATGGTTACTGTTTGTCGGCTAGCATAAAAACGATATTCCACGGACTAACTGAGTTTTCAGTCCTCCTAATGGTGTAAAATCGATTTGTTTAAGAAAAGTAAAACTAATTGACACATCAAACCGAACTGAAAAAACTTAGCAACAGGTCCACTATTTCCGACCACAAACATCGTTTCTGAAGACATAAAACATATTATTGTAGAAAATGTTGCGGGTTATGTGTATGCTTATGTAATAGGCTGTGCAACACTCCTCGTTCCTCAGTGTTAGTAATTACTTCAGTAGAGGGACAGACTGCTTCAATAGTCTTATTCATTTATTCTTATGCAGATCAATCGACCGATGTCAATGAAAAAAGAAATCATCCAGACCAGAAATCGCAAACTGACACAGGCCAAAAAGCGAAAGGATATTGAGCAATTTTCTCAACTGATTAGTTCGGCTGCAGCGGCCGCAGCAGTCGCTGATCACACATCTCACGACGTGGCTCAGTGGTTTAGCTCACTGCATCAAAACGTACCATCCATGTCACCCCGGAACCAGTCATTCTTGGACGCATCCACCTCGATTGATCCATGTCTGGTTACGGAATCTGTGAGTCACATTGAAGATATGAAGCCCCAACCACACTCAGCAGACAGACCATACTCTTTGAACAATTTCTATCCTGTTCGGAGAATGATGACCAATTCCCCGAATCTGTGGAACGAACACAATCACTCGACACCGCCGGGTAACCATTCGCAAATCATGGGATTACCATCAACAACGACAGCAACTCCCACAACAATACCCCGTTCTGTTCTGGTTAGCGCGTCCTGTCCAAATGGGAACTCGGAAGGCTTAAATGACTTACTCAGCAGTCCCGCAACTCCTTTGACATCGTGTACACTAAACACAGGAATAGAACAGGGCAATTCAACAACAGCGGCCAGTTTGTTAGCATCCCAATCCTTGTTGAACTTACCGATCAATATCCGAGCAGGCGACGAGCATGCAAAGAACAGTTTAGTTCCCTACAGTACATGGCCTGTTTTTGATCCTACCCCACCACGTGAGGCCACACATCCCGCATCTTACGAGGTCTCCGTCAAAAATGATAGTGCGTCGGCACTGGAATCGACCTTGTACACACAAGAGTCCACGAAACACACCCATGAAGCAAACTTTCAACGATTTTCCGATTTTCAGTTTCTTCCTCTCACGTTACCATGAATAGTTTTCTTGATACTGAAATGTGCTGTCTTTGGGATCCGTTCAGTTTTGCATTCTACTCCTGTATATATGTGTCTTGATGATTTTATAAAACACTGCCAGCCACTTTGCCGTTTTTCACCAGAGCAGACAGCTAGAAACTTACTACTCACGAGTAGCAAAGATGTAAATCGATATTTGAACAAACTTGGGCGAAACCAAGTAACCACTCCGGAATGAATACAATCCATCTCTTGCTACCGCATCCTTGAGAACTGGCATTTTTCCATATCTTCCCACATTTTCGAAACCCCAAACCAACAGTATGCGTATTAACGTAATTTCTGACTATCCATTGTCATCCTTCCTCAATATGTTGCAGTTCCTAATAGCTACTAACTTGGTATTTGACTGATGTTCAGGACGGCCATTGACCAACCTACCTGCAATGTTGAATTTAGCCAGAGGCGTTTCACCAAGTGTGACGCGAGCATGATACTTCTCATTGATTGGATAATGCCAAAAATCAAAGACAATGTCACCTGACTTCAAAATATGCAAGCACCTATCGATTAGAATGTGTTGAAGATGTCCTCATCAGCCAGGTGCAACTCAGAGCTGCGTTGCCAAATCACTTGGTATTTTAAGAAAGACTGGTTGTATTTTTATATCCCATTGAACGACTATTTGAGAATTGATGAATGCTGGATCATTTCAAGAAAGATGTCACCTGAAAACCAATGCAAATTGGTGTACTGCCGTGAGGGAAAAGCACGGTAAGTTCCCCATGGCGGAGAGCATTGTTTGTAAGAAGGCAATCCAACTAGCACTAAGAATGCATCATCTTGTCTTTAAGATTTCCAAAAGTTGGTCTCGCTCTTGGTTAGATAGATATGTTATTCAATCCTACAAACTAAGAGACAGGCAACTACTCATGTACATTACTTTCTACGTTTGTTGAGAAAGCTTGGCGGTACCGCGTGATGCAGTGGACGAATTTCAAGTGAGGTTACCACAGTTGAGCAATGAACGCGACAACTATGATACTCTCATTGCAGATGAAACAGCTTTGTATTACAAGCAGATCCCAGAATGAACAGTTAGTCTCAAAGGAAAACAGTTTTTTGATCCAAGAAATCCAAAGAAAGGGTCACGTTACGGCTTTGTGGGAGCATGACTGGAGAAAAGGTATTACTGTTGGGTATTGGATAATTTCGAACTCTACGATGCCTGTGAGGTATAGATAGAAAAAGCCTTCCCTGTAGTTATAGTTTTTTAAAGAACACATGGATGACTTCTGAGTTGTTCCACAGTTGGCTTGTGGTTGCTTCAGACCGACAGTGTAACATGCTCGAGAGTTGTCACCATCTTTGATCTGCCTGTTCCGCATGGTTGCTTGGATCATTCGCTCGTGCATCTTTGTCCTTTGTAGCATAGATTCCACCAGGATCTTCGATATCCTGAGACCGCTTCTTCAGCTAGGTCTTTCATCTTTGTTTAAGTCACTGTCACCTCCGGAGAAGTAACTTCCCCTTAAACGGTGCGTGAGTTCGATGCTACACCTTCGCTTGCTAAGCATTTCGCTTTCAGATGCTCTCGAGCTTAGTGAGGCTAAACTTCCGGTACTTTTAGGGAAACAATATACTTTCCCTTGACTTATCGGTCGTTCTTCCTGGTACATACCGGGACCTTGAGAGGCACGAGAGAATAAAGATCGGATCACGTACGCAGGTCGTCAGATAGCACCCTCCGTCTCTAAAGACTGTCCGAGGTCAACCTCAAGACGGCACTAGAATGTAATGATTTGTGTTACAGTGGTCACCAAAGCCACGGCCATTCGGTCTATCGATGAGCTCTATTGCACTAACGTGTAAACGGGTGAAAGATAATCACGACTGATTGGCAAGCGGGTGGGTGGTGTAAGATTTCAGATCCAGACGATCGATAACCGCCACTGGGCGTGTGTGGATGAATGAACGACAATCGCACTTGTCCTTGCTATAGCACCGATGAAATCGTATAGGTCACTGGTCAAAAAGGTCCAATGCGCCCCCGATTGTTTGAACAATGAACTTTTAATTTGTCAGTCAATTTATGGCGTAACGTGTTGAAATTAACCCCTTCACTTATGTTTATCAACACTGGTTATAACGAATTTATCGATCGATTGGAACAGATTGGCAACAAAAAAAGCGAACGAACAAATAGATGTCTATATAATAGTCTATAGTATATTTCGCAGTTGACTCACAGTGAGTAGTGGTGTGAGTTAATTGATTTTTATTGATTTGAGCTGACCATTGATCGGACTTCACCTTCACGCACAATCCTCAGTTCATCGATTCAACCATACACTCGAGTTTTGCTCTTATTAGAGTTCACCAGTAGTGCATATCCACATGTAAATAGTATACATTTTTCCACCAGAAAATCTTGAATAGATTGCACAGCGAACAATCAGTTTGGAATCAGAGAAAGAAATTAATGTACTGAGTACACCCCGTAACAGATATTTCACTTATTTTAGATGATGTGCTTTCCTTCGAATGCGAGTTTTTGCCTCGTGTTCTGTGTTTCATTCTTGTTTTCGTCGAATAGGTTAATAATCATGTTGTAATTATCATAGCTGAAATAGTTGTACATTATGGTGGACGCCATATACTCAATTCTGTGGTTAGCCTAAAATTACAAAGGAATCAAGGAATATTTGGAATTAAAATACGGTAATTGAGTTATAAAAATTGCTCTGAAGAGGCAGCTTCGGGGTAACTAGCAGCTTGAAACTAAAAAAAGCCCGAATACCGAGTGCAATGTACTAATATTAGGCTGAGGGCACCATAACAGATTTCAATTTCTTCGATACCTATAGGATACACAGGATGGTGTAATTTAATTTCGTTATAAATAAACAGTAAATAATTCTAAGCTTTGAGACCAAATAACGGAATTAACGTAATTTTCATCGATCCGGTTTACTTTGTCACCAAACTCTCAACCGATTCTTCATACTGCTTATTAGCATCTACTACTGAATAACATGCTATGCCACTGTTCCTGGAATTTATCTAGTTTTTCGAATTCCCGAGGGGTGCGAAATAGGAGGAGATTGACTGTATTTCATAATGTGGCACCCATGCAAGCTGATAAGACAGCACAACGAAGTATGGCTTTGTGGAATTAAGACAACCAACGACTGGTGGGTAAAACATTTATTGAGAACTGCATGGAAAAAGCTATCGATCACAGGTGCCAGCGGATATGCGCTTTTTGCCCTAATTCATCTCACCATTAATTTCGGAGGAACATGAAAATGGTGAGTCAACATAAGCCCGTCAGTGGTTGAGGTATAAGCTTCATAATCATGATACCTTGCTGGGTTGAGTGATGGAATTTATCAGTAACGGGGGATTTTAACTAACACATGGTGAGGTATTTTTTTATAACAAGGAAAAAAATCCATGATTTACTCGTGCACGGGATATTGCCAGGTTACCCAGGCCAAGGCATGCACATTTTCTTGAGGAATGGACAACCGGAATCATGAGCTAGCCAAATCCTGATGTTCAATGTAGAATGGTGGTGTGGGAAAACCACAATCTATTGAGGGCCGGTGTTCAGTTTATCAGATTATTTTCCATTTTGATGGGGCCAGACATTTAAATGAGAACGTGAAATACATTTACGTTTTCAGGCATCTTCTGGGAGCGAAAGATATTTAATCCCTTTGGATATATGCGAATCTGAGTGATCAAGTTAAGATGTAAATGCACATAGAAGAATAAAACAATCGCTTCTTTTAATGAGTACCGACGTTCGATCGCGACGACGATGGTTATTTACCGTGGCACATTTAAATTGCACTCATTAACTTTTTACTTCGACGAGTCCCTCGAGCGCAATATGCAAATGAACTCGGTAAATTGGCGGGGATGGGAGACACGCTATTGCTCTCCCCACCCACACATTTCTGTCCAATCGTGGTGCAAGGTTACTAAATAGTCTTAATCGTAGCAAACAGATCTCTATTTTTCTCCCTACAATTTACGCAAAATACTAGATAAGAAGCAGTAGTTCTTGTGAAGAAAAGTGTTTCATGACCTAGTTTGGGGTAACATTCATTCGCGGATGACTCGCAGATAACAGATCTGTTTCCACAGTCTACAGTGCGATTGCTCCATCGTTTCACATGATTTTATCTCTTTCACCTATAACTTGAAACAATTAAATTCCCTCTGACCCTCTCCGCGATCTGATTAAATAATTTCCCGTGCAACTTGGAATCCCTTTGAATGCACTGTATCACAAGCGTTCAGGGGGCTACAAAAATAGATGTCATATACGATCTAAGTAATATCAATCTAACTACTGAAAACATTAACGGTAGTTAAAAATTGAACTCAACTCTGATGCGCAATCACATACGCACCGAGTGAGACCAGTTAACACGGTTAACTGTTTGTGGATTGAGATAGCGGTTATGGAATAGCGCATTACAGGTACCTTAGAACCGATGACCAAAAACGTAATCGCCCATTTCGCAGTTGGGACTGGCACACACGAACACACTAATGCGTGCATCTACCAATGGGCCAACGCAATGGTTGGTAAGATCATGTGGTTATGAGGGGTCGATCATACACGAGTACGATGAACAACAGTTAAAAGCATTCGATATTTTTATGGTGCGAAAACGCATACTGGTCTCAAGATCAGACTGAACGAAGTTACGACCACTTTCCGACGTGACCGAGTAACGAAACGATCAAATCCGACATATGTTAACTCTTTTCCCAGCAGTTTCATATACATCAAGTTATGGTCGGAACCGAGGAGTTCCATTTAACGCACCTGGTTTACAGCTTCTAAGAACAATAGAAGCAGCACCGGGTTCCTAGCATTCACGATCGCAGTCCAGCCGCAACCCGTCGCACGATGTTACCAGTAACACTTGGTCTCCAATGGTCATCACCTGTCAATACATTTGAAATCCTGTCTATACTGACCAAAATGTAGCACAGTAG